CCTCCACCACAAACCCCGCTTTGCCTCCAGCATTTATAATGGTGTTAAATATATAAACAAGTGTTTTTCAATGTATGGGGTGGGGGGGTCGCACTCAGAGGCTTGCTATGTGAAAGAGGGCACCAGTACAAATCGTTTCTCTGAGCCCATTTATCAAGGGGGGGAGGGGGAAAGAGCTCTCTCTCTCTAATTCATGATAGCGTAAGCAACAAAAAACCCCACCTAAAATAGCTTAGCTAACAATGCTTGTTCAACATCTTAGATTGTTCATAAAATTCTGGTATCAGTCACTATCACTATCGGATACTAGAATAATATTGCTATAATTTTCTTTGAAGCGGAGGAGCTTTTCCCCAGCTTTTCATTCAGTTTTACTAGGTTACTGGTGTTCAATCTGCAGAGCACACATTGGTATCATTATGAACAAAATTGAAGTTCGCAGCACATTCCGATTTATGCTCTTTCAACAGACTGGGGTTTTGATTTTCTGATGGCAGTGTGTTCCTGCTACAAAAGCAGCCAGTAAAAATTGTATTTCTTCTAGATTATAAATATAACAATGATGAATAGGTCTAGAGGGAAAATGTACCGTGCATCTAATGAGCATTCTTTTACCTTCTTCTGGCTCCTTGCCCCAGTGCTACCTGATGAGCAGTGTTTGATGTTTGGAAGATGCATACATCAGCATTGTTTCCCTTCTAGTGGTGAATCTCTAGCCATGATCTAAGGCTAAATGCTCACAAAATACAGAAATACTCAATAAAATATGAATAAAAATTTATTCAGAGATAAGTATCAGATTCAACCCAGAGAAGGCTCATTCCAGTACATTAAACTATCCCGTGGAGCCACTCTGGATTTCCCATGCTCCAGACACAGGTTGAATGGACTGCCACAGTTCAGTTCCACAGAGCCAAAGCCTGGTCAAGGAATCGTATTCCTGTATCGAGAGCAGTGGTTCTCAAACTTCTGTCCTGGTGCCCCCTTTCGCATAGCAAGCCTCTGAGTGCGACCCCCCCCCCTTATACATTAAAAACATTTTTTAATATATTTAACACCATTATAAATGCTGGCAGCAAAGTGGGGTTTGGGGTGGAGGCTGACAGCTCGCGACCCCCCATGTAATAACCTCGTGACCCCCTGTGGGGTCCCGACCCCCAGTTTGAGAACCCCTGATCTAGAGCAGAACCCCCTGCATTGCTTGACTGGGGCTCTTCCCCACCATAAAGAGAGGAGCCCATCCAGTACCATTAGGAACAAAGCACCCGTTCTGCCTCTGCCCACATGAAAGGGTATCAACGTCCAGCCAGGGAGTGGGGGGGTAACAGCGACACTAGGTAACTACAGCTCTACCCACTTTGGCTCAGATACTGATTTCAGTTTGAACACCAGGAGCATTCGGGAAAAGTTGATTCTTTTGTTTTTAAAGAGGATGGCGTCACCTTAACTGCACTTGGGTGGTCCCTGAGGCCACTGTCTGACCAAGCACAGAACATGTGTAGGTGTAAACAACATTGCATCACTCCAGATAAGCTTAAAAGTTTTCCAAGGCTCCTGAGGGAACACAACTCATAGATATTTCTGGGGCTAGGACTCCCAAAACTCATGTATTTTCTTCTCCTACTGTTCAGGTTTTGCAAGTTGGCATTTAAGTGTCAAGGCATAAAGAGACAGATGATAAACTACTGCCACAGAGTAGAAGCTTCTTGCTGATCAGAATCCAGGATTGGGAAAGGTACATCCATCTTTAAGCAAAGGCCCATATGAACCAAGTCCTATGCCATAGACTGACAGAACTTCAATGGGATCTGCACATAAGGACCGACTTTTACACCCACACAGATACTCACTGGGGTCCACGGAAGTCAGCCTGGGAAGAGAGTGTCCAGCCTCTGGGACCTTACCGCAGTATCAGAGCCCTAGCGAAACGGGCGGACTGTCTCAGACAGCTGGTTAGTGTCTCACTTATTGCAGTGAGCTTGTTAATTCGGGCCCAGTTCCAAACCTCTGCTCTCAGTCAAGCTGCAGTCGGTATCACGGTTCATCTGGCTTGATTTGATTTAAGATTTCACACCTGTTTTTCTCCTGCTTGCTTCGCTTCCTTTGCTTTCCAAATAGTTTTGTGCCTATTTCTACCTGCTTTTGCCTTTCTGTTGTTTCCCCGAGCTTTTCTGTTCTTCGCTATTGCTGTGCACTTTAACTCCGCTTTGCTCATCTAAATCTGTCACTATTTAATCTTCTGTTCCTTGCACTGGGTTCCTTTTTCCGTTTGGTTGCTTCTTATATTCTCCTGTTCTCTCCCACCCTTGTCTTGTCACGGTCACTGCTGCTCTGCACAACTCACTCCCTCCTGCCACCTCCTCTAGCTTATGCCACCGATCAGGCCTTTTAGCATCCTCCAGTTACTGCTTTAATGGAAAAGTTTCACAGGATGTTTCTCAGCCCATTCATTTGTTCCCCTCTCCCTACAGGACTTCTGCTGTTTTCAGTCGATTCCTCTCCCTCCCCCATCTCGGTTTTCATTGGTGTCAAGTCTCCTCTGGCTGTCTCCATTACTGCAAGTCCTCAGAGCGAAGAGTAAAATCCCTCGCTCTGGCCCTACTTCCCTCCCCTCCTCTAGATTGTTATAGACTCGCCACATAAAACAGAAAGCCCAGAGAATTCAGTTTGCACAGACTTCACTGGAAAAGGGAGTGGCAAACAGCTTGTAACTGTACCAGGGAAATAAAACACATGCTTTCACTCTATGCATCCGAAGAAGTGAGGTTTTTACTCACGAAAGCTTATGCCCAAATAAATCTGTTAGTCTTTAAGGTGCCACCAGACTCTTTGTTGTTTTTGTAGATACAGACTAACACGGCTACCCCCTGATACTTGAAAACACATGCCAGTAACTGAGGGTTTGTATAAACCGGGATCTGCTGGGCACTGCTGCCTAGTGGATATACACACTTTGTAAGACAACGATTTCAGAATTTAGAAGCTCCAGATAAGGAAACAGTTTGCCTGCAGAGGTTATAAACTCTTCAGGCTTAAGTCTCTAGAGTCTCCAGCATAAAAGAGCAAACAGCATGCACTCAAATCCAGCTGTGGGCTATAAAGACACACTACATGGTGGGCTACCTGTATGGTGAGCAAACTTTCTGCTACCCGAAGTTTGAATATTTGGGGGTCCAGAGGATCTCCATTCTATTGATATTTCTCACTGCATCTATGACAGAGTTCAACTGAACGTGTCTGTCTGTATGACAAACAGATACACATATATGTGCACATTAGGGTGACCAGACAGCAAGTGTAAAAAATCAGGACGGGGTGGGGGAGAGAATAGTCACCCATATAAAACAAAGCCCCAAATATCAGGACTGACCCTATAAATTGGGACATCTGGTCACGCTAGTGTATATACACACACCCACTCCTCAAAATATCTGATAGCATTAGAAATGACAGTGTTCAGGTCCTTCGTTGGGCAGACCAATTGGCATTGCTAAAATAGATTTTTTAAAAAAAGTGTTGTGTTAACCTTGCACAATGATGATTTAAAAAACTGGCACCATTGCATTGCTATGGTTATGTTATAGTGTCAGTTTGATTAGGATATGCTAGCAGCAGTTACTTGCTAGATACTCATCATTAGCAAAGTTGTCATTCAGTGAACTGGAAAACCCAATCGTTCCAAATGACTGGATATTTTTCACTCCCCACATAGAACAGCTGAAAATAACATTAGTCACTTTCCGGGCTTTGCCTTAGGGATAGCTGCAGGATAACAATTTGTTACTTCTTAAAATCTTGTATTGCAGTTATCAGGCAAAGACATTGTCAAAAAGAGTTGAATCAGCAAAAAGCAAGACCATAAATCAGGGGCTTAACCACTGTTTCACACACGGAGGCAAAAAAAAAAAATGGCTGGACTGCATAGATAACACGTTCATGTTCTTAAACCATATGGAATTCTTCCAGATGAGCATTTCAGATCGTTCTGTTCATCATTAACCTACACATTCCAGTTCGGAAGACGGCTTTAAGGGTTAATTTGGTAATGAAAAGGGAAGTCTGAGCATAGCCCACGTCACCCACTGCAGATCCTCTGCTGGTGTCAATCAGCACAACATCCTTTCCCTTTTAACTACCAGCTGAGGCTCATGCCCCCAGAGCCTACTGCCCCAGTGGAAGAATGGTGCATGTCATTTAACACGATCCATACAAAGCAACTTCTTAATATGAAGACCCCTTCTCCCCCTCCATCCACAGCCACGCCAGCGTCAGATTAGAAGCAAAGAAATGGAACGGAAATGGAAAGGGCAGAGGAAGAACTTGGAGATGCAACTCAACTGCCCCATTCCGGGCCAGCACTTTGCTCTTTCCCGCCTCATCCCAGGTTATGCCATTCCTTTTGTGGCACAGCAGATCCAGAAGATTTATAGAACTTAGGCCCACCAGAGACCATTGTGATCACTTCGTCTGACTGCCTGAACAACTGGCAATGGATCGTCACCCAACGACTCCTGTATCAAGCCCGTGCCACACTGAACGAGAGCATCTCTTTTAGAAAGACACCCAATCTTGATTGAAAGTTCGACTTTTATAAGCTCCAAGATGCACCGTCCATTCCTTTGCGGCTGTTTCTTTAGTAAGCTCCCAGCAGGGCAGGGCGAGAGGGGCAGCCGCCCAGGGCTCAGAGCTGGCAGGGATGCAAAAATGGGGCAATGGCAGCAGCTGGGGCTGCCCCATTAAACCGGCCCATCTCCCCCCTCCCTGCAGCACTTGGCAGCCCACCTCCAGTGGGTCCCCTGCCACAGGTACCCCCTGCAGCAGCCCCCAACACTCCCCAAATTCCCCTTCCAGCTCCCCCTTCTCTAGCATTGCCAACCCTGAGAAACGATTTTAAATTTACTTAGATTCCTGTTTTGCCTGCATTCTAGTTGTATCCTATATTTGCTGTCAATTTTACATGCTTTCTAATAAATGCTCTTCTTTTGAATCCATCGTGTAAAACACCTTTGGTGCTTAAAAGATGGCGTTTTGATTAGCTAGACTATAGATTTACATTGTCATGTCACTTTTATTGTTCTAAAATGTTCTGACAATTCTATTTATACCTTTGGCAGCCAAACAAGCAAATTTATCCATAAAGCCATTGTTCATTCCAGAAGTGTCATTGCTAAATGAGGTAGATTTTGAGCATTTGATTTGGTTTGTGCAATTGGTACATGATGGGAGGTCCCTTTCTCAGTAATGAAAACAGAGTTTTCTTGCGTGACTCAATTAAACTAAAGATAAGACATAAATCAGACCTGAGCTCTTGTTGAGTCCCCATATGTCCCTGTTGCTGCAGTGATAGTCACAGAAAGCATTCATTTTTCAAAATGGATTTGTTTCTTGTTTCTTTTTTTAATCCAGTGGGCTGAAAAGGATCATGTGATGCAAAACAGGTTTTTTGCAGTGGTGACCTTCTATTTAGGCAACAGCTTTTGACAAGTGCTCAGAGGAGGGTGAAAAGAATGGTGAAACTCTACTCAACATTCCAGAATATCTGGGGATTTCTGCTGAAATACACAGCAATAGTAGTAAACAGCGCTGATTTGTTCCATTGCCATCATTAGGGTTCAGAGTTGATGACCCATTGAGATGAATGGAGACCGTTGATCCCTCTTGGAAAGCTAGACTAATATAATCTCTCAAGCTGCAGACTCCACACTGCACATACTCGCATCTGAAAAGTTGTCTTGCTGCATAATGGCTAGAAACTTTCACTTTAAAAGCAATGTAAAAGTTTAATTTGTAAAAGTTTAATTTTCATGGGGCCATTAAGAGAGTGCCATTTTGGTCTATTGCCACAAACTGCCTCAGTCCATCCTTTGTTTTTGACACTAAAATTCTTGAGTGGTTATGCATTGGCTGAGAAAATGTTCCATCGATGATGAGGTGTATTGGGGACTACAGGACATGTTGGTCAGTGCTGTGATGGGTCTGTCCTGGTATTTTATGAAATTGGCACTTAGTGCTATGTTTGGGGTGCATTTCCTCCTCCTGCTGTGCTGGGCTTCCCCTCAACTCTACAGAAAACCAGTCATGGGGGGAAGATGAAGCAGTGATAATGTGAATCACTACGAACATAATATTACTTTAAAATACCCTTACTATGTTAAAAAAAAATCTCTAATCTGGAAGAGAGAGAAATTGTCTTCCATGAAGGCAAGATGACTTCTGCTCCTACAACTGGAGCTTCGCTGTTGGCTGAGTCATATGACACTATGAACAAAAACCAGATGCCTCAACACAAGCTATATGAAGTTGGAATACAAATAAGGTCAGAATTTTTAAAAGCAAATAATGGGCCAGCATTCTCTCTGGCCCTACTCCATGGAGTTCTGCGGAGTTACACCAGGAATGCATTTGACCTGCTGTATGTGGACTTTACCTGGATAGAATTGTGCTGGATGACTTGGCGAACTTCACCAGAGACACAGACTGGGAATTTTAGTTGAGAGAGAGAGAGAGAGAGAGAACAACTATGTCTCTGGGTCAGTGACCTCCAGTGAGTAATGAGGTCTTCAGCCTGAGGCTTCAGGCATTACTTCACACTGGCAGTAACTTTTTAAGTTGGAGACCCATGAGTTTCTGCTATCAAAGTCCAATAGCCTAGTATTTGGATTAAAATACACTGACAACTTGCATCTCTCTTCAGTGAAAATGCCAAACTTCACAGCGGTTACCATGAAGCCTGTTTGCAGTTGAGGAAGTCAAATTCTCCCTGCACCTTGTCTGAAGAGCTCACAGTCAGGGCCCTGACTGCACACTTTGGTTCACACTCTTCTCTCTGTGAGTAGACGGTAGCCCATAAGATATCATAATTGATTGAACCAATTCTGTTCTGAGGGAACAGTAACAAACACTTAGGAGTAGAAGGTTTTGTCTAAGGCATGTTGAGGCACTTTTAATCCAC